ACAATTCTCTCTCTCTTCATGGGTGGTGGATGTCACATGTGCAATGGGACGTCACTGAATACAAACAAAGTCCCGAAAGAAAAACCAGACAGGCAAGTAGCTATTATAATAGTTTGTGCTGCATGCGCTCTTAAAATGAAGAGAGGGGGAGGGAGAGGGGGGGAAAATTGGCGCCCAAGAACCCGCCCAACAAGTCCACAGGTGTCTGTTACTAGAATCCCCTACAACATTTGGTAATAAGTCCACGACTACCGTCACGAATATACATAAATGTTAGTGATGGGGTGGTCAGTGTAGTGTGTAGGTTGAGCATTAGTGAATTGGTGTCGTCAGTGTAGTCAATGTAGTCACAATGTTTTCAGTGTAGTCAGTGTAAACTGACTACACCAAATACACTAAATATGTTGACAGTTTCATTTGTTAATTTCTGTGCTTAATAGTGTATATTCGTGACGGTAATCATGGATCTATTTTCCAACTTTTTGGACCTGGGATGGATAGATGCGGATAAAAAATAACAATCTAAATAACCTCCGTAGTGATTTTCAGGGAACTACGACCCTCATCGCTAAAATCGTTCGGGGACTGGCAGCTTTAATAAACGCGCCATATTCAGCGTTAGGGATGTTGCTAGACTTTTGGGGTGATACACATCATCTCTCTTCCAGGGTACATGGAGCAAACATTTGTTGTAATTAAAAGCAGTAATGTGCATGCCGTTAACGTTGTCGAATAAATGGATTTCTCAGTTTTTCAGTGTGGCGTGTTCTCCTCAAAGAATGGTGGAGACATATCAGTATCTACCGGTAAGTCAAGTGACTAAAATCACAGAGCGGGTAACATTATTGACATTCTAACAATCAGTATCTTGATAACAATCCAGCCGGTTCTTTTACGGCAATAGAGAGATTAAGAGCCACGTTTACGGCAAATTCTCAAAATAGAAAATGAGCAGATAAAAACAGCTCACTGAAAAAATTCTTATGGATAAAACTGGCATTAATCTCCTGATTTCCGTGCAGTTATAATGAACAGTAAATGACATTTTAAGGGAAACCTTGGTCACATGGTACAAATTCTCGTTTGCCGTAAACGTGATTCTAAATTCCTTCTAATGTCAGAGGTTGGTCGGTACATGGAGAAAAATTAACGTGAGATAAAAAAGATGCTAATCTGCTACTATTTTTCAGTCTACTGTAAACTAGTAGTCACGAAGCAGAATCAGAATCAGTGTAATATCCCAATTGCCTTCACGCATCCTAATACAGTCAACTCTCTCATAGCGACCACTTCTCGTAAGCGACCACTTTGAAAATAACCTTTTTTGTTTCTCAGCCAAATACCGAATTCGAGTTCGAATTTCTTAAACAAACCCGACCACATTTTAAGCCAGAAATTTAACTTGTCCTTTTGCTTTCTGTTTCCCATAAGCGACTACCCGGCATGATCATTTTTAACTTTAACTTTAACTTTATTTGATTTACCACAAAATACAAATAACGATAAAACAAGACAGTTACACAAAAGCAAATGAAAGTGGCGAGGAAGCCCAAACAGAAACCATGAGGCTTATAGACATTGGGCTCCCTCAGAGTAAAAATAAAGTTAACAGTAATGGTAAGGCCAGGATCGAAAGCAAAATACAATGAAGGTAAGTATAAATTAACTAATTACATAGACTGAGTTGACAAAATATAAGGTATGGTACAAGTAACAATAAGTATAAAAATAATATCAGACATGGAAGAAATATAACTAAATTTACTACAAGATTTATAACTAATAATTCATATATAATTTTTTTTCAATTTCGTTTTGAATAAGTGGAGAGAATTAGATTCTTTAATATCATTTTCTATAGTGTTATAATAAGTAGGTCCTTGGAAACTGACAGAAAATTTACGAAGGTTTGTTCTACAAGAAGGAAGGTGAAAATTGTTCGCGTGTCTAGTGGCATAGCTATGGACTTGTTTGTTTAAAGAAAAATAATTGTTGAACTTTGAAGGCAAAAGAGAATGGTTAAGAGAAAACATAAGTTTACCTAATTCTAGCTGTCTAATATCGGAAAGTTTTAGTAGCTCTAATTCTTTGAAAATAGGGTCTGAATGAGAATCGAAAGTTGATTTAGAAATAATTCTGATAACTCGCTTTTGCAAAGAGACAAGACGGCGAAGATTGGTTTTGTACGTAGATCCCCAGACAATAATACAATAATGAAGATAAGGATAAACTAAACAATAATAAAGAGTTTTTAGACACGGTTTAGGTAGAAAAAATCTTGCTCTATTAATGACACCTATTGATTTCGAGATTTTACGAGCTACTTGAGAAATGTGCGGTTTCCAAGACAGATGTTCATCAAGGACTACACCGAGGAAGACCGTTTCCTTAACCTGTTCGATTCTCTGTTCGTTTATGCATACTTGCATTGGAAAATGATACCTTTTCTGTCTAGGCTTAAATAACATAAAGTTTGTTTTCTTTAGGTTTAAGGAGAGTTTGTTTGCCTTGAACCAAGTGGATAATTTATTAAGTTCGGAATTGAGTGAGGCTGCCAGGTAGACAGGATCTTTATGGGACATAAATAAATTAGTATCATCAGCGAATAAAATCAGCTCGACGAGCGACGATACATTATTTAAATCATTAATATAGAGCAAGAAAAACAAGGGGCCCAAAATAGATCCCTGGGGGACACCACAGCAGATAGTTTGAGGAGAGGAGCATTGACCGTTAAATTGAACGAATTGCAACCTGTTGGAGAGGTAGCTTCTAACCCAGTCCAGAGCCACGCCACGTATACCATAGTGTTCGAGTTTGTCAAGCAGAATATTATGATCGACGGTATCAAAGGCCTTAGAAAGATCAAGGAAAACGCCAACGGCATGTTCATTGCGATCAAGAGCAAGGGAGATTTTTTCATATAGGTCAATCAATGCTAAAGAAGTTGAATGATTTTTCCTGAAGCCAAATTGATTATCACATAGAATTTCTAGTTTACTTAAATAATTATAAAGACGGTTATAAACAACCTTTTCAAGAAACTTAGAAAAGCTAGGGAGAATCGAGATCGGTCTATAGTTCGTAAAGAGTGATCGATCACCGCCTTTAAAGAGTGGTATCACGCGAGCAATTTTCATATGGTCGGGAACAATGCCATGAGAGATAGATAAATTGATTATATGAGCTAAAGGAACGGCTATAATTTGAATTGACTTTTTTATGATGGAAATGGGAATTCTATCATGGCCAGCTGCCTTACCTGGTCGAAAAGCATTGGAAATTTCCAATAGCTCATTTGGAGTCACTGGATCAAAAAACACCGATTGACAAAAGTGACCAGAGAGAAAACTGCGGTGAGAGACAGACGAGTGAATTTCTTTGGCTAGATTAGGTCCGATATTAGAAAAATAACTACAGAATCTATTAGCGATGTCTACTGGATCCGTAATTTCTTGGTTGTCAACTTTAAAGATGGAATTGATTTTAAACGCTTTCTTTTTTGTCTTAATAATTTCGTTTAGAACTCTCCATGTAGCTTTGGCATTTGATTTAGAAGCATCGATTTTCTTTTCGTAATATATACGTTTAGCGATTCTTAATGAGTGATTCAATTTGTTTTTGTAATTTTTATAACGAATTTCATAATGCAAAGATTGATTAGTGAGATACTGTCTATATAACTTATTTTTCGTTCTTATCGACTTCAGAAGTCCTTTCGATAACCAAGGCTTTCTCAAACGGTAATTGCTCGCCTTAGTTTTTTTTAAAGGAAAACATGAGTCATATGCCGTAGAGTATTGTTTGAAAAAGCTGTTATAGGCGTTATTTGGATCATCAAGAGTGGCATACTGAGACCAGTCAATTCTCTCCAAGTGCGATAGAAACTTAGTTGTGTTGACTTGATTTACATCTCGAACAAAAACAGATTCATTAGATGCTGAGATTGAGGTGTCGAAATGAATAGAAAATATAGGCAGATGGTCAGAAATATCAGTGAAAAACAGTCCACTCCTGGATCTATCGAAAAATTGGTTGACGAAAATGTTGTCAATTAAAGTTGCCGAATGACAAGTTATTCTTGTAGGGCGCGTAATCAATGGAAAGAACATATTAGAATGATCATACGTGATGATCATCACGTATGATTGTAAGAAAACCATACTCAAATGTCGCAAAAGTTCAGTTCTATGTAGCGTTTTGACCAGGTGTGCTGACAGATTGCAGCAGTTACCTTACAAAATAAATGGATGAAAGGCGATTTGTAGGTAAAAAGATGGATTGTAACAGTGATACAGAATATTATGTACACGGGATTATGTACAAAGTTTAAACAGTTCCAAGCCCTATTCGATGTGAAATGATTTTTGCCAGTTGTCTATTTGCTTAAGTTTTAGCTGGTAAGGTAATAACCTTATGTAATTACGTTAATCACTTCATTTTAAGCTTATTTTCATGACTTTCCCGTAGACGACCACCTCCTGTAAGCCACCACTTTGTCGTGTATCAAGGGTGGTCGCTTATGAGAGATGGATGGATCAGGTGGATTAGCGTCCGCAAGCATTTCGCGCAGAGGATATCCATGTGAGGCTCCATCAAGCACCTAGGCGGGGGAGGGGGGGGGGGGGTGGGGGGGGGGGGGTGGAGGGGGGGGGGTGGGGGCCCCAAGCATTTCCGCGGAGGGAAAACCAGGGGGGGCCCCAGGGGGGGGGGGGGGGGGGGGGGGGGGGGGGGGACCCCAATCTTGAAACTCGAAAATACTTCCATTTGGACATTTGGTTGGCGCTACTTGATTTTTTGCAGGGATATTTTCGGTCTTTTACCTAGACCACCATTTTCAATTCTCGACTTTTTTACTTAACAGTTTAACAAGAATATACCAATTAAAGGATTCAAGTTTTATGTCAGCACAGCCTCGTGGAAGATGAAGCGCCCTCCTGCTTATTTATTACGGGTGTGGTAAACAATCATTTTTGCTGTTCTTCGCGTTTTTTTGTCTTAGCTGAAATAAAAAGTAATAAAATTAATGTAATTTGTTTATCCTAGAATTCTTAGCTTAAGAAATGGAAATAGAGAGTTTCTTCTGGTTAGGAATCGGGTCTCCAGGGACTTACGAAAGGTCTGTCAATGACAAAACAATCTTAAGGCTCAAAGAAGTAGCGGGAATTAGTATAGGTAATAGCATGATTTGTAGTGATATTTGGCATAAATACCACGAGTGATATTTCGAAATTGTTATACGTAATTTCACGAGCCGTTAGGCGAGTGAAATTTGGGACAATTTCGAANAATGACAAAACAATCTTAAGGCTCAAAGAAGTAGCGGGAATTAGTATAGGTAATAGCATGATTTGTAGTGATATTTGGCATAAATACCACGAGTGATATTTCGAAATTGTTATACGTAATTTCACGAGCCGTTAGGCGAGTGAAATTTGGGACAATTTCGAAATATCACAAGTGGTATTTATGCCAAATATCACGTACAAATCATGCTATTATTTGTTTGTACTACTACCCGCAAAAGGTTTGTAATTTTCAGATGTAGGTATTTCAAAATTAAGCTGAAATACCACTGCTCTAAGCCAATCAAATTGCAGAAATTTCTCATATAGTGGTATAACTACTCAAATAGAGAGAGATTGAAATCGTACAGCACCGTCTCACTTGCCCCTAATGGTGGCTGAAAAGTTGGGTTCTCAAACGGCTCGGTAACTGGTAATTTTTGGAGTCCGAAGGCAAATTTTGAAATCAAGTCCATTTGAATTATAGTAGCACAGTTTCTACCTCACAAATCGGTCACTTTTGCTTCGTTAACTGATAGTTTTATTACATCAATTTCAAAATCAATGAAACTTTGATATTGAGTACAAACACGCCAAACCTAAAATAGCTTTTCGGGCCCTAAACGTTATCGGACTTTCGAGAAACAGGACCCAGGTTTCTTGGCTGTTCATCATGAGATCAACTGATTATGTCACATATTAACACTAATATTCTTTTGTCGTTTTCGCAGGCTTATGAACCCTTTTATGGTGCTCGAGTATTTGTAGTGTTCGCAAGTAGAAGAAGGAAACTTCTCAAGTACGATGAAAAAGAAGCAAAACAGAATCTTTTTTATTTAAGGTGTACTTTTTGTGCACATTTATAACTTGAATGAAAAGGATTATAGTAAAGGAATTCTTTCTCTGATGTTTTTCAGGATAAACTTTTTACCAGATTTGGCTGGAAAAGTAATGAGCAAGAAAGCGGAATATGTAAGTATGGAAAACGCTTGATATACATGAAAAAATTTGGGTCAAGGTAACAACACTATTTCAGTTTCCACGATCCTTAAGCCCCGCCGCACGTATCGGGATATTTTTGAAAACGGAGATTATTTTTCTCCGTTATTAGCCTTCCTTCCATGGGCACCAAACTGCGGGTTTCCAGAGTGGGGATCTTTGAAAACGCCTAATTATCGTTTTCGCGAAGACGGAAGAAAAGCGAAATTTTCGAATACGATCTTCGAAGAGCGCACGGGACGTTATCTTATTTGTATCGCTTTTGCGTTTTCGTGCCGTGGATGGGTAAAAACGATTGAAATACGCTGCGTCTCGATACGTACACTTTTGAAAAGTGTAGAAGAGGCCTCAGTGACCTCCTTAGTTCCTGTGTTTGCATGTCAACCAGCAGAACCGAAACTTACAAGAATATCGTAGAACGGCATTTGATGTAAAAAGTTTTGAATATTCTTCAACTAGCACCTTTTAGATTTAGAATTATATATAAACATACCCATAACTCGGGGTGTCGGGTATGTGGTATGCAAATCAGTGGGGTTGGCGTAAGTGAGCTTTCTTGAGCGGTATGACCAAGGTTAGAAGTTACCCTAACCCTCCTAATAGTTGCAAAAGAAAGAACGAAAGAAAGGCGCTTTCGTGCGTGAAGTGATTTTCACGCGCGCTCGCGTTTCGCACGCTCTACTATCCCTGAGGAAAAATGGGGACTACTCGTAGTCTAGGGGACTGAGCGCGGATTTTGATAACAGAATAAAACACTGAACAGATTTTGCCCTCGTTATTTAAAAGGAGTATCAGGTGTATCAAGTATCACTTCTTTTTTTTTTTTTCAGATCTCACGTTACGGAGAACAGATTATTAGTGTCACAGTCATGTTGGGTTGTCTTGGATACGAAGGCTACGTCACTTTTACTGACCTTGCTGTAAAGCCCATATACGGTAAAAAGCCATGAAATGACTTATCGATGTGCACGAACTGTTTATTTTGAAATAGCGTTATGTCCTTACAGTTTTGTGTATTGTTCTACAACCTCTTCCCAGGGTCTTCACGTTTTTCATTATGGCAGTGTTATAGTCAGGGTTCGCAAATACGCCAAATTTGGCGTATTTTACGCCAAAATTGTTCAGATGACTCCACTGAGGTTATGGAGGGAGTCACTTCGACTCCAGAAATTTTCAGTAACAAACATAGTTTTGTCCTTACCTTTTTCGCAACAAATACAATTTACATTAATTGTAAACGTTGTAAACCTTAATTAAATCATCGAAATTAAAGAATTATACTGCACGGCAAAACAGGAAGGGGGTAAATTACGATCGAAGTTTACTGGATGACCGCCATCATGGATTTGAGCTTTTCCAGGTCAGCGGACCGCCATAGCTACTTAGTGTATCCCTTACGATAGTTTATATACGCCCGGATCACGTGCTGGAAAGTATGAAAATGGCTTTTTTCGTTGTGATACTTGAATCCAAATATTCCAAAATGACTCCGAAATTTGTGAAGCAGACGTCACACTGACTCCACTCATCAATAAAATTTGCAAACCCTGTATAGTGATATGGGCATCCTCGCGTCGGTTTTGGGCATCCCCATTCCCAAAACCCTAGTGATATGGGCATCCCCTTCTCATATTACCTTGGCGTTTTGGGTTAGGGTTAGGGTTAGAGGGGATGCCCATATCATTAGGGCTTTGGGAATGGGGATGCCCAAAACGCGGGGATACCCATTAATATCACTGTGACAGCGGCGAAGGGAGAGATCTTCTCTTTTAGAGAACAAAAGAACCCTGGGACGAGGATGCATTGTTCTGTTCTTATGGTTTGTTTGAGAAAGTTGGTGTGTGCACTGATAAAAAAAAAACCACTGAGTTCCCTACAGTCTGTTTTAGATAAGAGACTATGCCTTGCCTACGTTAAACATTTATCCTATCACGGCAGGCTGAATCAGACTATCAGTAGGTTAACCTCTAATCTAAATGCCCATCAACCTTAATAAGTATATATCATTGTTATCACTCTTAGAATGCTTCAAATTACAATCAGTATTATTGATTGTAGTAATTATATTACATGTACCATAATTATCATCATCATTATTATTGACTATTATTATATAATTATGACAGCTTTAATATGAAACTAGTGTTAAGTTTCACCAATGTAGAGCGACTGTTCACAACTACAAATGCTCAATTGCTTTTTCTTTCACCAACAGCTTTTTATTTTGTTTTATAAAATCAATTTTTTTTATCCAGAAAAAATTAGAAGCCGGACCAATATCACACCAAAGAGCTTACTAGCCCCATGCCAAGCATCGACAAGAAGACCACAGTTGAAATCAGGAGACTTTCTAACTGAAATATTGTATTCTGCCTCTTCACCTACGGTAAGTTGTAACAACTTTATAGGTTTGTATTTTAAGATAACCTCACGGTTTTAACTAAACGCTCCAAGATTCATCCGCCCTTGGGTTTTGCTTGGATAAAGAGATTTGTGCTTCACGTGGTCGACTTCGTGCTGAAAGCAACAAAAGATTCGCAAAGCTCGCTAAATTGGTTTTTTTTTTGGAGTGTCAACCGGTGCAGGATTGAATAACTTTTGGCCAACTCAAAACAGCTACCTCGCCTCCAACCTCGTTCAGTGTAGGGTCTTTATTCGTCCCTTTTTGCCGAAAGGAATGGGAGAGAGACCCTAAGAATGAATTTGCAACTTCCACCTTCCATGTTTATATTCATCATCATCATCATCATCGTCATCATCATCATTGTCATTGTCATTATCATCATCATCATTATTATCATTATATTATCACTACTATATTTTCTATTTCTCTGTTTTGCTCTTACTTCTAGGATTCCGACGCCATCACTTTAGTGACACAGCTAACTTTTGACCGAATAACCATGTTGAAGAGGATTTTAAGATTTTGGAATGGTAATATGACAT